TATCCACCGAGCTTGCATTTGCAGTACACAATGTCGCACAATTACTGTAACGACCACTGTTTGGTTTTGCTCCACGATTTCGGCTGGAATGCAAAGGAAGCCCATACCAAGCTGGTGGATACATACGGTGAGGACGTCATCTCTTACATGACATGCAAGAATTGGTTCGCCAAATTCAAGAAAGGAGACTTTTCTCTCGAAGATGCTCCGAGGTCGGGTCGGCCGATGGAGTTGGATTTGGAAGTACAGACGTTCCACCGTGGAGGAGACCCGTTCAGCACAAGAGATGGCTGACCATGGCTTAGTATGATGCATCGACGGTTGCACGTGGACTAGAAAAGCTCGGCAAGGTAGCAAAGCTTGGTCGATGGGTCCCACATGAACTGTCCGCTTATGACCTCTCGAGGAGGGTGACCACCTGCACTTCTCTCCTCACTTTCCAAAAGAGGCTTCACTTCTCAACTCGATGATCACTGGAGATGAGAAGTGGGTCCTCTACGATAACCCTGTGAGGAAGCGGCAGTGGGTCGACAAAGGAGAACAGCCAGAAGCCACCCCAAAGGCCGACCTTCACCCCAAAAAGGTTCTCCTGTCCTGTTGGTGGTCCAGAAGAGGCATGGAGTACTGGGAGCTGCTGGAGAAGGGACAGACGATTGACGCTTCCACATACGTGACCAGCTGCGGAAATTGAAAGATCACGGGTGACGCGTACTAGTGAAAGGAAACGCGGGAAATCTACTCTATGAAACCTTGGACACGCCAACCTCACACTGCAAAGGCGACCCAGGCCGAGCTGGAGAAGTACGGATGGCTGATGGTCGCCCACCCTCCCTACAGCCCTGACCTCGCTCCTTCTGAACTATAGGCTGTTCCACCACCCTGCAACGCTAGAAAAAAAAGTTCGAAACAAAGGATCAGGTCAGAAAGGCGCTCGACGACTTCTTCAAGTCCCAGCCTCCGTCGTTCTGGAAGGATGGAATCGACAAGCTGCCTGAGCGCTGGCGTCGAGTAGTGAATGGTGATGGTGCATACCTCTAATCTCCAGGCTGGTTCGTTTTTGAGATATTTACAAAAAAGTCGTGTATAAGAACTTATGCGACAACCTAATAGCAACGAATGCCGCTCGTGCCGCTACGGGTGGGTCCAGGATTTTGTGGACATTCTGGGTTATGTGAGACTCGGAATCGTGTTAGGTTAGGCTGGATCCTCTTGCAGCAGAACGCCAGATTGCGATCATCCCCCCTCTACACAACACAACACACAACAACACACACACCACACACAACACCTTATCATGTGCAGCGAATAAAACTGCAGTTGGCGCAGGCAGCGCTGCCGATAGTAATGACCCACACAGGAAATGTACCGAGTAGTTAGTTTCGAGTGAAAGGCTTCCTGATATCTAAAATAGCTTCCTACCTCCACGGTAAAGTGATCCTCGGAGGCTTTGTATGCGCTGCAATTGCAACAGCATAAAAACATAGCAAGCCAAAACCAAAGCCAACATAATGCTCTCGAACTCGTAAAGTAATACTCGTACGCAAGACCGAGCTGAAAAATCATAATAGCCGCAAACCAACAAAGAAAAAGAGATGTTCAAGTTTCATTAAAAGCTCATTTCACAATGGTTGTATGAGCGCAACCGGCTCCAATGCCGCAATCTTCCATTGGCGCACCGCTCTTCGTCACCGTCTTGGAAAGGAGGAGCGCAGCAACGATGGGAAGCACAATGGTGATTCCAGCTCCGCCCATATGACAAACATGGTTTATGCTCGTACGGAGGAGGTTGGGATAGATGTCCAACCAAATATTAAATATGTAAGCCCTGCAAAGAAGGATAGTTCACGCTGGTCATGTGAATAAAACCACGCCTACTGTTGTGCTTCAATCGTTGTTGTGCTCCTTCTTTATAACCGGTGACGGCTAACGGCTCGAAAATGAAGGGCCGGATCAAATGTGCCACTTTTGACCCGGCTCCGCCTATCTTACGGCTTGTAGGGCACAAAATTGCACTCAGCGACAGCCTGCAACAAGCCACCTGTCGGCACCGCGCAGAACGCTTGTGAGCAAGAGACTGGAACTGTAGTCGCATTTCGCGGGGTCACAAGAATTATCAATTCTTTTTCGATGATGACGTTACTTAAAACATGAACTACCTATAGGAACTAGAGAAAAGTAAAAACGCTTCCCCCCCTCTCTCCCGAGCTGGAGAGCACCATCTTTCGCTGCGGAACACGGGGAAGTTGTGTGCCTATCCTATATACTTTGAATTCCCCTGACAAAGCTGTTTGGTAGTCTGTGTTAGGGGAACGGGGGGGGGGTGGTACTCTCCCACAGACATAAAGAATACATGCGAAATCCGAAGCCACTAACGCAGAATCGCGGGGAAAGGCCTATGGAATAAACGCATCAATCGAAAAATTTCTCACAAGGCCTTCTACTACAAGCAAAGGCATCAATGCAGTTGGGGCTCGAGGAGGAGGAAGCCTGACGAACTTAGTCAAACCATAGAATACCACGCGTTTGAAGAGGAACGCAAGACGAGCAAAAGGGAGTGTTGCTCACCATCGATGATGGCTTGAAAATTTGGTGTGCTGCGGCGTGGCTTACGCTAAAAACAGAAAAAAGAGTAGTAAAGATGGCTCCCTGAGCTTCATTGTATTGAGATTTGTTCTTATGTATGAAATGAGAAGCTCTTCTTTTCTTCCAAAAATATTTATTGACGACGTTTCGGGAACTAATGCCTCTTCAGGTCAATGATATTACTACAGCAATATTAAAAGGTCTTACACACGCACAAACCGCAACAGTCACCATAGAAGGAGCAGCAACCTACAGCGAGTTGTCCGGAAGGGGGAGGTGGGACTGCCTAGACTTCTTAAGCGGATATAGGCAGAAATAGGAAAAAACATTACGAAGGAATGCGTGACTATTCCCAGATCATCCTTGGTCCTACATCTGTATATATACGCCAGGAACCCTGCCACTTTCCATTTGCTGCCTATATCTGCTAAGAAGTCTAGGCAGTCCCACCTCCCCCTTCCGGACAACTCGCTGTAGGTTGCTGCTCCTTCTATGGTGACTGTTGCGGTTTGTGCGTGTGTAAGACCTTAATTGCTTGTGTAATTCAGTGACCTGAAGAAGGGCTTAGGCCCGAAACGTCGTCAATAAATATTTTTGGAAGAAAAGAAGAGTAGCGACTAAGGAGTGGGATGGGGCGGGGGGAGGGGCAAAGCAGCGATCATGTGTATCAAATAAAAACCAATGAAATCACCAAGATGAATAACGTTGACACATCGCCGAGTGATGCTGCAACTGGCGTGGTAATATTGTCAGGATTCATCTGTAAAACAATCATGAAATATCAAAAAAACGCCGATCAAGAGGGGTCCTGTAAAATAGCACCTTGAACTTCCTGGCCATAATGACAACTCCAATCATGAGTAGCCCAAGAAGAAGGGAAGCGAACGAAGCGGTAGCCACGGCCGACAGCAACAAGCAGAAGAAATCACGGATCATGAACTGAAATTGAAGAAGGTATTCATAGAACGTATGACGACTAACGATGAACTAGTGGCGTCGCGGTTCGCTTCTATGATCGCCAGGGCGCTGTGCGTCTGGCTCTGCTGCGCTATGGCCTCATGGCCAAATCCGCGACGCGTGGTCGCGAGTCGCTTCGAAGGCCCGCCTCCAGCGGAGCTTGTATATGGGCCAGTCGGCGGTGCTCTCTCCCTCCGGGAGGAGGAGGGGGGGGGCGCTGGGGACTCTGTGCCACACTGATGCCGCGCGGACTACAGAGTACCTCGTGCACTGTATGCAGCACTGTGATCAGGCACACTGCTCCGTCTGGCGGAGCGCTGGTTGAAGCGCGTACCCGTTATACCCTGGGGCACGTCTGTCTGCGAGTTGCAGCTTGTAGCTGCAGGGCGCTGGTGAGCCGCGGGGCTCTGAACCACCGAGTCGTCGTGGAGGAGGGCTACTAGGGCGGCCCCGACAGGGTACACCATCGTTGCGTGAAACCATAGGGGGTCGTACTTTAACGCTGGGAAGGAGGGGTCGTATTTGGTCCTTGGGAGACACTCCGCTCTACAGCAATTTTTGAGGAAAGTAGGAAAATTCTCGGTAAATTCCGGAAAAAGTGGTAGGAAGTTGGGGATAATTTGAGAAATTTTCCCGTTTCACATTGGCTATGTACCCTACCCCCCCCCCGCTTCCCCCTCTCCCCCACTCGACGGAAAACTTCGAGTGAAAACTGGAAATTGTGGGAAATTCGTAGATAGGTGTTGGGAAAGGGAGGGGGTCGTACCGAGCCTCTCATTTAGGTGGGGGTCTTACTGACACCCTCTTTCGGAGGCAGGGGATCGTACCTCCACCACCATTTCGACATCACGATGCTGTACCTTGCCCCGAACCGGGACGAATGGAAACATAAGCCGTCGGAAGAAAATTCGTAGTTAGTGGAACTTGAATATGAATTTTAAGGACTACCTCGCTCTGACTAAGATTTTTCATGTCGGGTTCGGAGAGTGGTGCCCTACTGGCCTTCCACCACGACTAATCGGTTGTTCACGAGTCCCTCGGCTCACCAGTAGCCACCTCTATCTGGTTCTTCACGGAGATTATAGCGTCCTCCAGCACAGTATAGCCACCGCTCACGGGAACTACCACGGTTTACTGGTCCCTTTCACCATTTTCTCGACTTGCATCTGAAATCGCCGTGTGAGAGCAGGGGGTGGCCAGCACAACTAGTTCGGGACCAGTGTTAGTCAAGTTCACCGTTTTTGTAGAGGAATGGGAACACAAATGCCCCGAGCGGTATTCGACCCCAAGAATCTGACGGCGGAACAGTGCCACGGCACAGTTAGGCGACGGGGGGGGGGGGTATTTTGCACTTTTGCTACTTCCCATCGACGTCGTGTCGACCCATCTAGACAGCCTCTTCTCGAGTTGACAGGTTTTACCATGATGGCTTGACGAGCTTGCTCCAGCTTCACAAGAGTTCACAGGTTTCACCAGAGTGAGACTTGTAAACCGGAACTAGTGAAGCAACGAAAGTGCAAAATGCCTCCCCTCCCCCTCTGTCGCCACAGCGCCCAGTGCCACTCGCCACTACTCCATCTTCGTCCAAACTCCACTTTTCTAGGAGCAAAATGCTCTTACCGGC